TCTGGGTTAACAGAGATTAAGGGGTAGCTAGAACAACTATAGGTCCTTGAGAACAATGGTAGCGATCTACAGTATTCATATATCTAATACAGCAACAACTGTTTCAGTGGTTAGTTAGTTACAGTATTCAGATATCTCCTCTACGGTAACAACTTTTTCAGTGGTTAGCTAGCTACGGTATTCAGATATATCCTGTACCGTAATATCTTCCATCTTTAACTAGCTAGGACAATGTTTTTTATGCGAGTAAACCATACGACAGCTGTGATGGAAACAGGAAGTTTCGGTACAATTTTATGAATGCCAATAGGGAGTACAGGAGGGGACTAAGCACGCACCCCTGATAATTTGTTTGTTCGGCATGGTGGGATCATTTTGTGTTGGTAAAATTAATTATGCAAGGAATGGCGGTGGAATCAAATTATTGATATAACAACCATCATATCGGAGTAAACTTGGAGTCATGCGATATGTAGTGTGGACCTCCCACTACGACTCGGGAAACCATGCAGTTTATTAGCCTACAGATTAAATAAATTATGATGAACTTCACAGGGTGGTGGCAACTTGAAAAATGTTTTTTAGAGTTAACCAGACAAGAAATGACAGGAGGAGATTGTATTGGCTAGTGATTTAAAAGATCACTGAAGACAAATATTGTGTTTTCTGTCATTGTACTATCAATTACTTTGTTTGATGATGAGATGAGTTTACAAATCAAATCAAATATTATTTGTCACATGCGCCTAATACAACAGGTGTAGACCTCACCGTGAAATGCTTACTTACAATCCCTTAACCAACAATGCAGTTCAAGAAATAGAGTCAAGAAAATATTTACTAAATAAACTAAAGTAAAGAAATTTATGAAAAATAAAAAAGTTGCCAGCTAAATGCATTCGTCCAAAAACATCTGCATGTTGCCAGCTAAAAGCGTACGTCCATAAACATCTGCATGTTGCCAGCTAAATGCATATGTAACAGTTGTTAAAGTACTTTGTGAATTTCACCAGGTTGATATATTAATATAGCATGTTGATGTGTTATTATGCATGCCTGCATCCTGGGAATAGGAGAGTGTGTCCTTACGTTTTGCCCTGCGTGCTCCTCCTCAAATCATTTTGATGCACTATGAGGTAGGCTCGCTTTTTCTGTCGTCTTCAGAAAAGTTAGATTCCTTCAAGCACAAAGTCGTACACACAGTGTTTTGTTCATGAATAATGTTGTATATTTAGAGTTTACTCACGAGTGGATGGTATTGTTAAGATGCAATTGTAATTGTACTTTTTAGGAAGATATTAACATTCTGAATTCAACATGTGGTTACTAGCTAGCTAAGGTATTGTATGTGTGAAGGGTGGCTAGGCTCCTCCACTGATCCCAGTTCTATTCAACATGTGGTTACTAGCTAGCTAAGGTATTGTATGTGTGAACGATGTATTTGTATTGTGCGTCTGTGTTGTAGAAAGAGGCGACAATGGACAGAACATGTTTGTGCTCTACAAATGTTTTGTCTTTTCCTTTGGATGCAGAGAGAATTCTGATTCATTGAAAACAGCCTGATCATCGAAGTCCACGTCTATAGTCCCAATCAATCACACACAACGCAGAGCTACAGCGGGGCAGTACAGCGCCGGTTACATTGGGGCCTTCTAGACCCGGATTCATCGTCGATCGACGTCAGCTCAATCACCGCAGTCCTGCTGCTCTAGAGACACTGTTTACATCGAGGTACTCCTGCCTCCTTGTGGCGAAAAGCGGATCTGCAGTCTATTTTCTCTCCTGTTTATTTCTTTTCTGAAAACGATGTATTGAGAGTGCTGTTTATGGTTAACTAATATAGAAGTGTGTTCATCAACAGAAATTTTAACATAACATTAGTGGTTTAGTGACATGGCATCTTATAATGGTGATGATGAACCCAAATGCACTGCTGGGAGGGGGAGGTTTTTCTCATACCCTGATCAAACCCCTGTAAAGCATGTAGGTGCAGTAGGTTCCCCCATGTTTTGCTCCACAAAAAATACTGATGAAAGCCCTTCATCTAGTGTTAATCAAAATGCCCCCTTGGATGGTTTAGCTGAGCTGGTCACTCAGCTAGCTCTGGAAACAGGGAACTCCATTAGGGAGGAAATGCAGAGTGGCAGGTCCAGCTCTCACGAGCCACCGGTACAGAGAAGATAAGTGATCATCACTCAGAGTCAGCAGGATATGTAGACCTCAGTAAAATGAAGTTCATCATGCAATCAGACATATAGAGGAGATGCTCCATTCATGAATAGGGAGGAGTTGATGAGAATATACTTGAGGAGGAAGGGATGTCCTGTTGGGGGAACAATCAGATGAGATGATTAGTCGACTATCTGGCAAAGCAAGAGACATGGTAAAGATACATTTACGCAATGAGACAACTGTTGATCCTAAAGAGAAGCCAGAGATTGTATTTTACATTCTGAAACAGAATTTCAGTGAATTGGCCTACTCATGCATGCCTTTAGCTGAGTTTTACAATACTAAACCTGTACCCGGAGAGGATGTTATTGAGTATTGGGTTCGATTGAACAAGGCTGTAGATGTCACTGACGAGGGTCTTAAGAGACAATGTAAGAAGATTGACAGCTACAACTCTGCTGAGAAATGGACTGCGAGTGAAGTACAGGAGAGAATCTATGAACATGAACGCCGCAGAAAGGCCACCGTGTGTCATTCTACCGCTGTATCCTCAAAGCAAGTAACAGTACATCCCCCAGACAACTCTGTTTGAAGGCGGGGCCGATGCTGGTGCGTGCAGTGACACTTCTCTCACGTCAAGCGCCAAACAAGACGGGCAGAGTGCAGGTATCGAGAGGCTCATTCACCTGCTTGAACGTACCTTAGAGAAGAGCATACCACCTGTTATGGTTTCACAGACACAGACCAGGGCGCCATCTTTCCCCGCCCAGCCCTTCGTCTTTCCCCGCCCCAGCCCTTCAGGCGTAGGGAATGCAGGGTTTGTGGCTCAACAGATCACTCCACTGTGATGTACTGTAGACATGAGAACCCTGTGCTTCTGGTGCTTTTCCCCCAGATCATTGGAAGTGAAATTGTCCAAAACAGGGGGAACGCTATGCCAATCCCGGCGGTGAGAGACGCCCAACACAGCAGCAGAGAAACCCACCACAGCAGCAACCGTTAAACGGACACGCCCACAGGTGAAGGGGGGAAATGTGGGAGTTCAACTGTCTACCCCCAGGAAAAATCTGATGATCTCGAGAAAACATATGAGATGTTGTGCTCTGATGCGAAAGAAGGAGAGAAAATTGTTATGTTAGGTTCACAAGAGGTTGAGGCTTTTTCAGATGTGTTTTCCACCTCTGTGTCTGTAGATGGGAAAGTGCAGCTTAAGGGCATGCTTGACACTGGGTCTATGGCCTGTACATTGAGTGAACCTACTGAGCAGAGACTTTTGGAAGCAGGTGCCCTTCCTCAGCAATATCAGCCTCCTAAAGAGTTACTGTTAGTGGGTTGTGGGGGGAAGAAGGCCTCACCAAAGTGTTTCTATGACTTGGAGATGCAGATCTATGGGATTGATGTTAAAGTGCCCACCCTAGTTGTTCCTGGACAGCGTGATGATCTTATCCTGGGATCGAACGTCATTAAGCATCTATTGCATGAGATGAAGGGCACTGATGAATACTGGAAGCTAGTCAACAACATGGATGGCCAGACTCACTCACCAGAGGGTGAGCAGTTTCTGCAGATGATGACTATGTTCATAAACATCTGCATGTTGCCAGCTAAATGCATACGTCCATAAACATCTGCATGTTGCCAGCTAAATGCATACATCCATAAACATCTGCATGTTGCCAGCTAAATGCATACGTCCATAAACATCTGCATGTTGCCAGCTAAATGCATACATCCATAAACATCTGCATGTTGCCAGCTAAATGCATACGTCCATAAACATCTGCATGTTGCCAGCTAAATGCATACGTCCATAAACATCTTGCATGCAGGGAACAGCAGTATTTTTCTCCCTCATCAGCTCCATTATAACAAGCCGTTACAGGATTTCTCAGTAGTGGTGAGAGGGACATGGAGCTCAGAGGGAAAGGGTGTGCTGCAGATTATAGGCTTCCTACTGGGACTGGACCTACCAGAGGCATACAGACAGTCATCTCAATGGCTCTCTTGACTGTAATATAAACCATCCAACCATAACCTGAATAGTTATGCACGCTCAAGTTTTCTGTTTTTTTGTCTTATTTCTTGTTTGCATCTTCAAAGTGGTAGGCATGTTGTATAAATCAAATGCTACAAACCCCCCCAAAATCCATTGTAATTTCAGGTTGTAAGGCAACAAAATAGGACAAATGCCAAGGGGGGTGAATACTTTCACAAGCCACTGTATATGGCTCCAGACAGAAATGATTGTGTTTGAATCTGTATGACCAATTTCCCCCAAAATGTGTTTTAATTCAACCAGTCTCAGCTATTCAATTGTTGTAAAAATGGGATATTTGGAGATATAAGTGAGATTATCTTCAATCACAAATCACTCTCATTATGATGAGATCATAATACTGATTGCAGAAGAGACTCAACCAGCTGCCTCTGGCGTGGGCCCAATGTACTAATAAAGGTTTTGCAACAGGTTAAAGCTATTGGAAACTGAAAACGAATAGTTGAATCAGTATACTGTGTACAAAACATTAGGAATACTTCAATATTTTATCTGTCCCATTCACCCTATCTTAAAATTACTGTGACAGTACATAAGGCAAGGAAGCAATACCGTCCTGATTTAGAGAGGGGCTCATATTGTCTCAGATGATTGAGATTCCCATATTTATTTCATATATTTCATAGGATGTAATTATTCCTGTACCATTTACAGCTTGACTCTGGGAATGATTTCTGACAATGTCCCCAGTTAGATTAGAAACACTGATGACCGGTTTAGTATGTAGCTGGCATTCTCTTCCATAGTGTTAAAAAGTCCACACAAAGACATAATGTTGAGGTGCTTTGGTTTGAATGTGAGAACATCTAGTGGATGGATATTACAGCTTGTTCCAACTAATTCAAACACCACTAGTGACATCTGCTGGTGTACTGCTGTAGGAGATCAGTCCATTTAGCAAGTACAGTATAAATACATGTGACCTCAAACAAAAATACTTTATTCCACAATGAAACAAGAAGACAATACAAGACCACTTCAAAGTTGATACAGAGAATGAATCTTATCTGACTTATTGCATACAGATACTACTGCATTTGATAATCAGTTAATCTGACGTCACCAAGGCTTAAAACAGGCCATTCAACAGACTGTTGATTAGAATATGTGGTCAATTAACACCCTACAGACACTAGTCTGGTGGTAATGGAGCCAGTAACCTGACCTTGTCTGTCAATGGCTTAGTAGCAGTGCTCTGTCACACTGGCCTGTCAACCTCTCTGCACGGCTATTTATAACACACAGACACACTGCAGAAGCTGATCAGAACGGTAAGACAGTAGTCAGATGCGCTTACTAACGTAGCACAGACTGACAGAGACAGAGGGACACAAAGAGAACCAGAGGGTGAGTGGGGGGTGATTCTGCTTATGTATCTGTTTCAGTTTTATATGAAATATTACTGGGATGTATTTTGGTACATTTGCTGCGCTACTATGATAAGAACATGTGTGTTTATGTCTATGAGTTAGATTAATACTGTTTTAAAGTGGTCAAGGACACAAGAGATGTGGACAGAATAATAGGATTATTTCAGGAGATGTAAAGGTCATGCCTATGGCCTTAATTAAGAGTTTGCAACTTTATGTTTTCTGTGGAGGATATACAATGTAACGCTTGTTATTGTCTCTGCCAGTGGAGGCTGCTGAGGGGAGGACGGCTCATAATAATGGCTGGAACGGATCAAATGGAATGGCATCCAACACATGGAAACCATGGAAACCATGAGTTTGATGTTGTTCATACCTTTCCCACCTATTCCGCTCCTCCCATTACCACGTGCCCCTCCTCCCCAATGAATGTGCCACCAGCCTCCTGTGGTCTCTGCCTTTGGTTCCAAGTATACGTTCCCATTGATCTATTTTCATTGATTTACTTTTTCAGATGGTGAAATTCTTCTGAACTGATACAATTTGTCGATATGGTGAGTGTATTTGATAAGATCTCGGTGTCAAACTACAAAGTTCATCATCAAACTACAAAGTTCACCAATCCCACACTGTAGGATATTCAACATGATTATCAAATATTACACAACCCCCCCCCCACAACATAACCCTAACCCCCCCCCCCCCCCGAAAAAAACAGTATTCCTGACACTGATACATCACCTCTCTCTCCCTCCGTAGGTGAATGGCAGTATGCCCCCCGAGCCTGATACATCACCTCTCTCTCCCTCCGTAGGTGAATGGCAGTATGCCCCCCGAGCCTGATACATCACCTCTCTCTCCCTCCGTAGGTGAATGGCAGTATGCCCCCCGAGCCTGATACATCACCTCTCTCTCCCTCCGTAGGTGAATGGCAGTATGCCCCCCGAGCCTGATACATCACCTCTCTCTCCCTCCGTAGGTGAATGGCAGTATGCCCCCCGAGCCTGATACATCACCTCTCTCTCCCTCCGTAGGTGAATGGCAGTATGCCCCCCGAGCCTGATACATCACCTCTCTCTCCCTCCGTAGGTGAATGGCAGTATGCCCCCCGAGCCTGATACATCACCTCTCTCTCCCTCCGTAGGTGAATGGCAGTATGCCCCCCGAGCCTGATACATCACCTCTCTCTCCCTCCGTAGGTGAATGGCAGTATGCCCCCCGAGCCTGATACATCACCTCTCTCTCCCTCCGTAGGTGAATGGCAGTATGCCCCCCGAGCCTGATACATCACCTCTCTCTCCCTCCGTAGGTGAATGGCAGTCTGCCCCCCGAGGGGCTCCATCAGCACTGTGAGAGCTGTTTCAGCCTGCACTGCCATGCCCCCTCTGTCTCCTGCCTGGTCATTACGTGCCGTCTGCATTGTGGCGCTGCCTTCCATACGTGTAAGAAGAAGGAGCACCAGTTACTGTGTCCCAATGAGATGGTCCCCTGCCTCAACGTTGACTACGGCTGTCCCAACACCATGCTCCGCCACAGGCTAGCCGAGCACCTGGAGGTCTGCCCCGCCAGCACCGTCATCTGCTCCCAGCAATGGATCCGCTTCCCAGTGTCAGACACAGAGTCTTGTATCTACAGGTATGTTGTGGTGTTTTGTGGTGGCTGTGGTGTGTTGTGGTGTGTTGTGGTGGCTGTGTTGTGGTGTGGTGTGGTGTTCTGTGTTGTGGTGTGGTGTGTTGTGGTGGCTGTGTTGTGGTGTGGTGTGGTGTTCTGTGTTGTGGTGTGTTGTGGTGTTCTGTGTTGTGGTGTGGTGTGGTGTGGTGTGTTGTGGTGTGTTGTGGTGTGGTGTGGTGTTCTGTGTTGTGGTGTGGTGTTCTGTGTTGTGGTGTGTTGTGGTGTGGTGTGGTGTTCTGTGTTGTGGTGTGGTGTTCTGTGTTGTGGTGTGGTGTGGTGTGGTGTTCTGTGTTGTGGTGTGGTGTGGTGGCTGTGGTGTGTTGTGGTGTTCTGTGTTGTGGTGTGGTGTATTTGTATTTGTATTTATTATGGAGCCCCAATAGTTCCTGCCATGGCAGCAGCTACTCTTCCAGGGGTCCAGCAAAATTAAGGCAGTTTTAAAATACATTACTTTAAGTTCACAACAGATTTCAAAACACACCAAGTGTGTGCCCTCAGGCCTCTACTCTACTACCACATATCTACAACACAAAATCCATGTGTACATGTGTGTATAGTGCGTATGTTATTGTGTGTGTGTGCATGTGTCTATGTTTGTGTTGCTTCACAGTCCCCGCTGTTCCATAATCCAGAAAATCACATTGTAGGATTTGTTATGAATTTATTTGCAAATTATGGTGGAAAATAAGTATTTGGTCAATAACAAAAGTTTCTCAATACTTTGTTATATACCCTTTGTTGGCAATGACACAGGTCATTATATTCCTGAGTGGCGCAGTGGTCTAAGGCACTGCATCGCAGTGCTAACTGTGCCACTAGAGATCCTGGTTCAAATCCAGGCTCTGTTGCAGCCGGCCGCGACCGGGAGACTCATGGGCGGTGCACAATTGGCCCAGCGTCGTCCAGGGTAGGGGAGGGAATGGCCGGCAGGGATGTAGCTCAGTTGATAGAGCATGGCGTTTGCAACGCCAGGGTTGTGGGTTCGATTCCCACGGGGGGGCAGTATAAAAAAAGATGTATTCACTAACTGAAAGTCTCTCTGGATAAGAGCGTCTGCTAAAATGTGTAATGTAAATGTCAAAAGTTTTCTGTAAGTCTTCACAAGGTTTTCACACACTGTTGCTGGTATTTTGGCCCATTCCTCCATGCAGATCTCCTCTAGAGCTGTGATGTTTTGGGGCTGTCGCTGGGCAACACAGACTTTCAACTCCCTCCAAAGATTTTCTATGGGGTTGAGATCTGGAGACTGGCTAGGCCACTCCAGGACCTTGAAATGCTTCTTACGAAGCCACTCCTTCGTTGCCCGGGCGGTGTGTTTGGGATCATTGTCATGCTGAAAGACCCAGCCACGTTTCATCTTCAATGCCCTTGCTGATGGAAGGAGGTTTTCACTAAAAATCTCACGATACATGGCCCCATTCATTCTTTCCTTTACACGGATCAGTCGTCCTGGTCCCTTTGCAGAAAAACAGCCCCAAAGCATGATGTTTCCACCCCCCTGCTTCACAGTAGGTATGGTGTTCTTTGGATGCAACTCAGCATTCTTTGTCCTCCAAACACGACGAGTTGAGTTTTTACCAAAAAGTTATATTTTGGTTTCATCTGACCATATGACATTCTCCCAATCCTCTTCTGGATCATCCAAATGCTCTCTAGCAAACTTCAGACGGGCCTGGACATGTACTGGCTTAAGCAGGGGGACACGTCTGGCACTGCAGGATTTGAGTCCCTGGCGGCGTAGTGTGTTACTGATGGTAGGCTTTGTTACTTTGGTCCCAGCTCTCTGCAGGTCATTCACTAGGTCCCCCCGTGTGGTTCTGGGATTTTTGCTCACCGTTCTTGTGATCATTTTGACCCCACGGGGTGAGATCTTGCGTGGAGCCCCAGATCGAGGGAGATTATCAGTGGTCTTGTATGTCTTCCATTTCCTAATAATAATAATAATAATAAGCCATTTAGCAGACGCTTTTATCCAAAGCGACTTACAGTCATGCGTGCATACATTTTTTTTTTGTGTATGGGTGGTCCCGGGGCTCGAAACCACTACCTTGGCGTTACAAGCGCCGTGCTCTACCAGCTGAGCTACAGAGGACCACATATAATTGCTCCCACAGTTGATTTCTTCAAACCAAGCTGCTTACCTATTGCAGATTCAGTCTTCCCAGCCTGGTGCAGGTCTACAATTTTGTTTCTGGTGTCCTTTGACAGCTCTTTGGACTTGGCCATAGTGGAGTTTGGAGTGTGACTGTTTGAGGTTGTGGACAGGTGTCTTTTATACTGATAACAAGTTCAAACAGGTGCCATTAATACAGGTAATGAGTGGAGGACAGAGGAGCCTCTTAAAGAAGAAGTTACAGGTCTGTGAGAGCCAGAAATTGTGCTTGTTTGTAGGTGACCAAATACTTATATTCCACCATAATTTGCAAATAAATTCATTAAAAATCCTACAATGTGATTTTCTGGATTTTCTTTTCTCAATTTGTCTGTCATAGTTGACGTGTACATATGATGAAAATTACAGGCCTCTCTCATCTTTTTAAGTGGGAGAACTTGCACAATTGGTGGCTGACAAAATACTTTTTTTCCCCACTGTACATCCCAGGGCCAGCTGTGCTGCCCTGTTTCTGAGCCAATTGTCCCTAAGTCCCTCTTTGTGGCACCTGACCACACGTCTGAACAGTAGTCCAGGTGCGACAAAACTAGGGCCTGTAGGACCTGCCTTGTTGATAGTGCTGTTAAGAAGGTAGAGCAGCACTTTATTATGGACATACTTCTCCCCATCTTAGCTGCTGTTGTATCAACATGTTTTGACCAAGACAGTTTACAATCCAGGGTTACCCCAAGCAGTTTAGTCACCTCAACTTGCTCAATTTCCACATTAATAAATTACAAGATTTAGTTGAGGTTTAAGGTTTAGTGAATGATTTGTTCCAAATACAATGCTTTTAGTTTGTGAAATATTTAGGACTAACTTATTCCGTGCCATCCATTCTGAAACTAAATGCAGCTCTTTGTTAAGTGTTGCAGTCATTTCAGTTGCTGTAGTAGCTGACGTGTATAGTGTAGAGTCATCTGCATACATAGACACTCTGGCTTTACTCAAAACCAGTGGCATGTCATTAGTAAAGATTGAAAAAAGTAAGGGGCCTAGACAGCTGCCCTGGGGAATTCCTGATTCTACCTGGATTATGCTGTAGAGGCTTCCACTAAAGAACACCCCCTGTGTTCTGTTAGACAGGTAACTCTTTATCCACAATATAGACATTTACATTTACATTTTAGTCATTTAGCAGACGCTCTTATCCAGAGCGACTTACAGGAGCAATTAGGGTTAAGTGCCTTGCTCAAGGGCACATTTACGTCATTTAGCAGACGCTCTTATCCAGAGCGACTTACAAATTGGTGCATTCACCCTATAGCCAGTGGGATAACCACTTTACAATTATTATTATTATTATTATTATTATTTTTTTTTTTTTATACACTATATTAGGCCCAGCCTTTGGATCTTTGGTTTTCCTAGATATGGCTACTATATTGTGATCACTACATCCGATGGATCTGGATACTGCTTTAGAGCAAATTTCTGCAGCATTAGTAAAGATATGATCAATACATGTTGATGATTTAATTCCTATTAATAATAATAATATGCCATTTAGCAGACACTTTTATCCAAAGTGACTTAGAGTCATGTGCGCATACATTTTTACGCATGGGTGGTCCCGGGGATCGAACCCACTACCCTGGCGTTACAAGCACCATGATCTACCAATTGAGCTACAGAGGACCACATTCCTGTGCTGTTTGTAACTACCCTGGAAGATGGATTGATAATCTGAACCAGGTTGTAGGCACTAGTTACAGTTTGAAGATTTTTCTTGAGTGGGCAGCTTGATGAAAGCCAGTCAATATATAAATCACCCAGAAAATATACCTCTCTGTTGATATCACATACCTTATCAAGCATTTCACACATATTATCCAGATACTGACTGTTAGCACTTGGTGGTCTATAGCAACTTCCCACCAGAATGGGCTTTAGGTGAGATAGATTAACCTGTAGCTATATTACTTCAACAGTATTTAGCATGAGATCCTCTCTAAGCTTTACAGGAATGTGGTTCTGAATATAAAAAGCAACACCTCCACCATTGGCATTTCTGTCTTTTCTGTAGATGTTATAACCCTGTATTGCTACCACTGTATCATCAAATGTATTATCTAACTGAGTTTCAGAGATAGTCAGAATATGAATGTCATCTGTTATTAGCAAGTTAGTAATTTCATGAACCTTGTTTCTTAATCTACATATGTTAACATGGGCTATTTTGAGCACTTTTCTGGGATGCTTGATTGTTTTCATTGCTTTACTGGGAAGCTTAGCAGCAGTAGATATGCTCATGTTATTTATGTTAGTGCAGGATGAGCTGCACACAGTGGACTTCCTCCTCGGGCACACCGCCTCAGTGCTAACAGTATAACTCTGGTTCATAGGCATATGATTACTGCATACAATAGCTGTAGGATCAACAGAGGCATTCAGGGCAGTTAGAGGGACATAAATTAGGTTCCTTACATTGTGTCTACCAACGCCCCTGGTGTAATGTACATTTTCTGAAGCATTATGACAACTCAGCGACACAATGGTAGGGATTATCTGAGCTGGGCTTGGGTCATTGATGTGCTTTGTTGTGCTGTGTTGCTGTGTTGTGTTGTTGTTTTGGTGTGTTGTGGTGTGTTGTGGTGTGTTGTGGTGTGTTGTGGTGTGTTGTGGTGTGTTGTGGTGTGTTGTGGTGTGTTGTTGTCGTGTTGTGGTGTGTTGTGGTGTGTTGTGGTGTGTTGTGGTGTGTTGTGGTGTGTTGTGGTGTGTTGTGGTGTGTTGTGGTGTGTGTGTTGTGGTGTGTTGTGGTGTGTTGTGGTGTGTTGTTGTGTTGTTGTGTGTTGTGGTGTGTTGTGGTGTGTTGTGGTGTGTTGTGGTGTGTTGTGGTGTGTTGTGGTGTGTTGTGGTGTGGTATGTCATGTTATGTTACTGTGTGGACTCCCACTGGGACGTCAATTCAACGTCTATTCCACATTGGTCCAATGTTTATTCAAGCAGTGTGCGCCCAGTGGGCTGTGTCACAATTTGAATATTGAATACTGAATACTGAAATGAATACTGGGACTGAGACAGATCAACATAGAGAAACGAAGACACTGTGTTCTATGTTTCGTGAAAACATATTGATGATTCTGCTGCTGATGCAATAAAAGATGTAAAAGGAGTTAGCTGCTATTTACTGCTATTAATACAGGACCACCCTGGCTGACCCTGAGAAGCAGCTGAACGTGTCCATGGCCCTGAGAGACCAGGAGCTCCTCTTCAGATGCCTCAAGATGAAGACCGTCTTCCCTGAGCTGATGGAGAAGGTAATACTGTGTCTATGTACATGTTTTTGTTAATAGTTTAGTAAAGTTTTCTAGCTTTGTTGTCTTCTTTCTGAAGGTGGAAGAAGAACCTGCTCAGAAAGAGATAGATATAGGGGTCACCAGCTCTGCAGGTGAAGGTCGTAGTTCATTAGACCCCAGTGAAGCAATGGAGGATGGTGATAATGGTTATGGAGATAGTTTGGAGCTGGAGCTGGAGCTGCAGAAGGAACTGAGTCAGGAGGAGGCCTTGGCCAAGAACAAGGACGTGGCTACTCTCCAGAACTACAGCTCCAACGAGGCCATGTTCAGAAAGGAGATGAAAGGATGCGAACAAACCATTAAAAACACGGAAAATAAGCTGAATCCCAGTGAAGAAGAGAAAGCAAATGGTCATAGAGAGACAGAAGGAACACCCAGCTTATCAAATGGTCATAGAGAGATGGATGGGGATGGATCATCCAAGGAGTGCCAGGAGAATGGAGCCACCGCAAGTGCTGTGGATGTCACCAGGTCTGGCCTTGCACCGTGGCAGGACGGGGTCATGGAGAGACTGCGTAGAGAGGTCCCCATTGCAGACTACAACATGTATCTGGTCCACCATGGAGCTATGCTGATCAACTTTGGTCAGCTTGATGCCTGCACCCCGAGGGACAAGGACTTTGTTTACGGAAAGCTGGAGCCCATCGAGGTTCAAACTGTCAGAACGTTCAACGTTCCCTCGAGCTACCGGCCGAAACGGATTCACACGAACGACCCTTGGTCACCGATGGTCAACCAAAGTGTTGACACGTCAGATCTAGGCGTGTCCGTAGAAGATCTTCCGAAGTGTGATGAAGTCAATGCAACTTTGTTGTGCTTCTTGGAGAAAGAGCTAAAGGGCCACAACATCTCAGAGGGTGGAGGAGCAGACGGCCTCTATGTAGACGTCGGAACACAGACTTACAACTTTCCATCTGATCCGTTCAAACCTGAAGCCTCGCTGGCGGACATCATCACAGACCAACACAAAGGCCTCTATGTCCAGATCCAAACTGAGGACATCACCAGAAGACACAACTTTACCAACTCTGCCTTTAGTTACCTCTGTGGCCACGTCTTCCGCCGCGACGAGTACCACACTCACTTCGAGAACGTGCACTTGGACATCCAGTCCTGCCTGAACGGCTGGTTCGAGCAGCGCTGCCCTCTAGCGTACCTGGGCTGCAATTACAGCCAGAGGAGGTTCCATCCAGCAGGTCAGAGAGCCACGGTCATCTACCGCCAGGATCTCAGCACCTTAACCCTTAAACCAGATTGCCACTTGATACTGTCCGACTCTGAGAAGACCATCACCTCTGACAGGAAGCATCCCCGTAAGCTAGACCCGTTGAGCAGACTTCCCTTTGAGATCCTCCAGCACCTGGCAGGGTTCCTGGACAGCTTTAGCCTGTCCCAGCTGTCCCAGGTGTCCCAGCTGATGAGGGAGGTGTGTGTCACACTGCTAAAGGAGAGGGGGATGGTCTATCTGAAATGGGAGAAGAAGACCTACTCCCATGGAGGGTCTTCATGGAAATGTAGAAAAAAGGTGAGTATTTTGCTGTTTCTTTTGTTTACTATAAGATACTATTGTTGTGTTATTACATTGTTTGTCTTATACTGTCTGGTATAGAGTCCATGGTCATTGAATGTAAATGAAACACAAACAGAAAGTGTCTTAATAGAGTGCGGGGCCACTACGTGCCAGAATGCACCTTGGCATGGATTCTACAAGTGTCTAAAATTCTATTGGAGGGATGCAGCACCATTCTTCCACCAGAAATTCTATCATTTGGTGTTTTGTTGATGGCGGTGGAAAACGCTGCTCTCAGGCGCTGCTACAGAATCTCCCGTAAATGTTCACACACACACACGCTCGCACGCACACACGCACACACATGCACACACACACGCACGCACGCACGCACGCACGCACACACACACACACACACACACACACACACACACACACACACACACACACACACACACACACACACACACACACACACACACTATCCCCATATTCTCCTTTGAGACCCCTCTTTCAAAGTCACTGATAGCCATGGTAGCCAAAATAATGGGCATCTGGGCATTTTTATACATGACCCTAAGCATGATGGGATATTAATTGCTTAATTAACTCAGGAATCACACCTGTGCAGAAGCACCTGGTTTCAATATACTTTGTATCCCTCATTTACTCAAATGTATCCTTTGTTTTGGCAGTTACCTGTCTATACCGTATGTATATATATATATATATATACATATATATATATATATATATATATATATATATATATATATATATATATATATATATATATATATATATATATATATATATATATATAAATCAGTAAGATACATACATACAGGACCAGTGAATGTTGGCCTATTGGTCCTACCATGGACTTTCAATGGAAAGTGAAAGGCAGAATGAACATGTGTTTGGTTATAAACATGTCACTGGTTCTAAACAAAGCCAAAGGTTCACACGTACTCTCTTGTTGTTTGGTCCCACCATATGATTTAGTGCTGTCTTCTGACCCACCAGGTGGATGGGTCCGATCAGTCACTGTGGGATAGCATAGTTACCAGGTCACCCTAATATGGCTGCCCAGTCCTATATGGCATCCAGCCAAATTCTCTACATCTCTTCTGGACAGAAAAATGGTTCCAGCCTAGTCCTAGTTTGCGTCCCAATCGCACCCTATTTCCTATAACGTGAACTACTGGTCAAAAGTAGTGCACTGTGTAGGTAATAGGGTACCGTTTGGGACACAGACTAAATCTCTCCTGGAAAGAAAGATGGTTACAGCCTTGTCCTAGGCTGTCGCAACTGGCACCCTATTCCCTATATAGAGCTATAGGTCCTGGTCAAAGTAGTGCACTATGTAGGGAATAGGGTGCCGTTTGGGATGCATTTCTAGTCCTATGACAGCTGTTGCATTGTAAAGAGCCCACTGACTACTCCCTGTATTCCTCTCTGACACGATTATGAGTTGAATTACCCATCCCAGTGTTTGGCACCAGCCAATCCGAGAGAGAGAGCCTGTCTGTGTGGCCACGGGAACAGCCAATCAGAGAGAGAAAGCCTGTCTGTGTGGCCACGGGAACAGCCAATCAGAGAGAGAGAGAGCCTGTCTGTATTGCCACGGGAACAGCCAATCAGAGAGAGAGAGCCTGTCTGTGTGGCCACGGGAACAGCCAATCAGAGAGAGAGAGAGCCTGTCTGTGTGGCCACGGGAACAGCCAATCAGAGAGAGAAAGCCTGTCTGTGTGGCCACGGGAACAGCCAATCAGAGAGAGAGAGAGCCTGTCTGTGTGGCCACGGGAACAGCCAATCAGAGAGAGAGAGAGCCTGTCTGTGTGGCCACGGGAACAGCCAATCAGAGAGAGAGAGCCTGTCTGTGTGGCCACGGGAACAGCCAATCAGAGAGAGAGAGAGCCTGTCTGTGTGGCCACAGGACAAAGGGCATGCCAATGATATCAGCGGTCTGGAACGCCACCAGGCCCTTGTTCCCAGTCAGCTCTGCCACACTAACCACTCAGTTATCTCATAATGGGCTCCAGCCCAAATGGTACCCTAGTCCCTTTGTAGTGCATTTCTTTTGACCAAGGCCTGTAGGGAATAGCATGCCATCTGGGATAGAGACACACAGAGGTTTTCTGAACCATGGAGCCAGAGGTTATAGAGTTAGAGGTGTTACTGGACAGATGACATTATATCGATCTAGCCGGCTATTGAGAAGAGGAGAGAGAGAGAAAGAGAGACCTAGCAAAGAAATCGAGCGCGGAGAGAGTAGGAGAATAAGTAGCAGAGAGAGAGAGAGAGAGGAGAGAGAGAGAGAGAGAGGAGAGAGAGAGAGAGAGAGAGAGAGAGAGAGAGAGAAAGAGTAGAGAGAGAGCGAGAGAGAGAGAGAGAGATGAGGAGAGAGAGAGAGAAGATCGAGAGAGAGCGAAGTAAGATATATTATCAGATCTCGTATAAGCTATCTCCTAGAGAGATCATATCTATGAATATAGATCTCTCTCTCGCGTATTCCTCTCTTCGCTCTCTTCTATATGCTCTCTCTATCGCTTGATCTCTCTCGCTCTCTCTCTGCAGTATCTGAGTAGGCTCTGTCTCTCTCTCGCTCTAGCTCTCTCGCTCTCTTTCTCTCTCTCTCTCTCTCTCTCTCCCTCTCTCTCTCTCTCTCTCTCTCTCCTCTCTCTCTCTCTCTCTCTCTCTCTCTCTCTCTCTTCTTCTCTTTCTCTCTGTCGCTTTGGTTTCCTAAGGTGTGGGAGTTTAGCAGTCTGTTTTCCAAGGTGGACAGGTGGTGCTTTGACGATGTCCCCTCCATGTCTGAGCACCTGAAGGTCTGCCCTTTCTACCAGAGAGAGGAGCTCAGTAAGCCTGTAAAGCTAGCCGGTATGGAGGGGTCCAGAGAGAGACCCCAGCGCCAGAGTCTACTGGACCTGCTCCAGGACCCATAATGGACATTATGAGGAGGCGGTAGGTAGCCCAGCGACTAAGGAGTTGGACCGGTAGCCGAAAGGTCACCGATCTGAATCCTGGGCTAAACTATGTACTAATTATTAATAAAATATTTTAATCCCCTAATCTACACCAGGGGTTGGAACCGGTTCAGGGATTTTTCTTTCGAGGAACAGAATCAGAACCGGGAACGAAAGTGATATATAGTGTTACGGAACAGAAATGTAATTTTAAAAGTATGGGAAGCAGTTAATACGGTTCTTTTACGTTCCGGGCATTTTTTTCAGTCCCACATTAAACACAACAAGGCGCCTATGCAAAGCCACTCTGTCACTCAGAAACGTATTCCTGTCTCTGTCTGCCAGCTGAACATCTGTCTCTGTCTGCCAGCTGAACATCTGTCTCTGTCTGCAAGCTGAACATCTGTCTCTGTCTGCCAGCTGAACATCTGTCTCTGTCTGCCAGCTGAACATCTGTCTCTGTCTGCCAGCTGAACATCTGTCTCTGTCTGCCAGCTGAACACCTGTCTCTGTCTGCCAGCTGAACATCTGTCTCTGTCTGCCAGCTGAACGTCTGTCTCTGTCTGCCAGCTGAACGTCTGTCTCTGTCTGCCAGCTGAACATCTGTCTCTGTCTGCCAGCTGAACATCTGTCTCTGTCTGCCAGCTGAACATCTGTCTCTGTCTGCCAGCTGAACATCTGTCTCTGTCTGCCAGCTGAACACCTGTCTCTGTCTGCCAGCTGAACATCTGTCTCTGTCTGCCAGCTGAACACCTGTCTCTGTCTGCCAGCTGAACGTCTGTGTCTGTCTGCCAGCTGATCGTCTGTCTCTGTCTGCCAGCTGAACATCTGTCTCTGTCTGCCAGCTGAACATCTGTCTCTGTCTGCCAGCTGAACACCTGTCTCTGTCTGCCAGCTGAACATCTGTCTCTGTCTGCCAGCTGAACATCTGTCTCTGTCTGCCAGCTGAACATCTGCCTCTGTCTGCCAGCTGAACATCTGTCTCTGTCTGCCAGCTGAACATCTGTCTCTGTCTGCCAGCTGAACACCTGTCTCTGTCTGCCAGCTGAACATCTGTCTCTGTCTGCCAGCTGAACATCTGTCTCTGTCTGCCAGCTGAACATCTGTCTCTGTCTGCCAGCTGAACATCTGTCTCTGTCTGCCAGCTGAACATCTGTCTCTGTCTGCCAGCTGAACATCTGTCTCTGTCTGCCAGCTGAACATCTGTCTCTGTCTGCCAGCTGAACATCTGTCTCTGTCTGCCAGCTGGACATCTGTCTCTGTCTGCCAGCTGAACATCTGTCTCTGTCTGCCAGCTGAACATCTGTCTCTGTCTGCCAGCTGAACATCTGTCTCTGTCTGTGTCTTTGCCAGTGTGTGTGCGTGTGTCACCCTCCCAAGCACAGGCTACTGTAGCCTACTGATGTTTCAAGCGAAATTCAGAAATTAGGGAGAGATTTTGGATTAACTTTTTCAATGCTAGTTACAGATACTATAGTTATTACATTTCACATCGGCTATATTAACTGCATCAAGGTAAGACGGGCTAATTCTGGTGCCGCTCTGCACACACAATCTTGTTAACTAGCTAGCTCTGGTCCAACGTTAAACTTTTGGAAGTTCAGACTTTCAAAGTTCCTCCATAGAAGCCTAATTCAGATAATACATGTCATAACAAGATGCGCTTCAAGCCACCCTCTCTTGCTCTCTTCCCTCTCGCAAAATTTCAGTCGCATCCTACGCTTGTCTGTCCATCGTGCAAACAACTAGGCTATAGCTGACCCGCTCCGTAGCAAGCTGCTCTATCCACGCTGATTGGTGAAGTCATTTAATGTTGAGCTAATATATATAAAAATAAAATAAATTATTTCAGAGGTTTAAAATGGAACAGAAAGAAACTATATAAACCGGTATGTTTTGGTGGTTTGACCCGGTTCAGAACTTTATTTTGGTGGTTTGACCCGGTTCAGAACTTTATTTTGGTGGTTTGACCCGGTTCAGAACTTTATTTTGGTGGTTTGACCCGGTTCAGAACTTTATTTTGGTGGTTTGACCCAGTTCAGAACTTTATTTTGGTGGTTTGACCCGGTTCAGAACTTTATTTAGGTGGTTTGACCCGGTTCAGAACTTTATTTTGGTGGTTTGACCCGGTTCAGAACTTTATTTTGGTGGTTTGACCCGGTTCAGAACTTTATTTTGGTGGTTTGACCCGGTTCAGAACTTTATTTTGGTGATTTGACCCAGTTCAGAACTTTATTTTGGTGGTTTGACCCAGTTCAGAACTTTATTTTGGTGGTTTGACCCGGTTCAGAACTTTATTTAGGTGGTTTGACCCGGTTCAGAACTTTATTTTGATGGTTTGACCCGGTTCAGAACTTTATTTTGGTGGTTTGACCCGGTTCAGAACTTATATTGCAGGTCGGAAAAGTGGAACGGAACAAAAAAAATTATGGTTTTGTTCAGAATGAAACGATTGGAAAATAATTTTGGTTCCAACCCCCTGCTATATATACTTTGTAAACATTTCTAAATGACTTGTTACTCCCCAAAAGCCACATTAGTAGACAATACCTGATTCTTCACCAATAGCTAATAAAATGGTGAATTCTAAGAACTCTGCACTTGAACCGGAAGCATATGTGCAGTGCTACGGTATGGCTGTTTAACACTAGAATAGCCGGGCCTCAACAAATTCAAAATTATTATTATTTAATGATGTTACTGTTCTTATGCCAATATGTTTTTACTCTGTGCCAGACAAGGGATATGGCTTGAAGATGTACCTCAATCCAGGGATGGAAGGTGTCAATGTACTAGTAATAATCCCATTATCCGAGCCACAAAATCAAAAACATAGGCACATTGTTTTTCATTAAACTAACTTTTTTCGTCAACATACAAGGCTAGCTAATGTGAAAGCAGCCAATTGGATTCCACAACACTTCCGCCAGCATTTTTTGATTAGGGGCTGCAAACTAGCTGTGGCGTGTTTTCATGGATGATATTTGGCCAATAAAAACATTTAAATTATAAAAACATTTCTCTTTTGTCTCTCTGTGTTTTCATAATTTTCTCACCGGAGAAATCATCAGAGCAGAAACAGCGCCCCCTCTGTCTCAGTATGTATCTGATGCTGTTTGGACCAAAAAAGTATGACATGTTGTCGCCGTAGCATTTGATTGATTGATGCCAGCAAGCATTTGGCCTCCATTTTATGAAAAAATGTATTAAAAAATTAGCCAATCAGCATTGAGCTGAGCTCAACTGTGGGTAGTCCTGACTTAGTTCTCTGTACAGGCCAATGCTAGCTAAATCGGCCCTTTCCTAACATGCTGACCAAACCGGGTCCAACTCATGCAGTCACGTGCGCATGAGGTCATTGGACTGCCTTCATTTTCTTCCTGTGTAAAGCCATCACGGCCGTGTGGTTGTTGCTGAGGATCATTAGTAACAGTTGATCATATATTTTATTAATGACATGTTGGCAAATAATGTTTATGGAGAACAGAGAACAGACCGAGCTGTAACAGTTTGAATCTGACACATGGCGCAATACTTTTTTATATTTTTATCAGCTTAATATTGCAGATAGATTGTATCTTCTATCAATGTCATTGTCTGCTTCACTTCCAATACCCCATGTTTTATTTATATATATATACTCCCCTTTATTACTTTTCAACCCCGCCATCCTTTCCCTACTTAGGGTAAATTAGTGAACAACAACGCCCAGGCCTCTACTTACCTTATGGACAGAGTTAATTTTACAATAATTCTATTATATATATATACAGTGGGGAAAAAAAGTATTTAGTCAGCCACCAATTGTGCATGTTCTCCCACTTAAAAAGATGAGAGAGGCCTGTAATTTTCATCATAGGTACACGTCAACTATGACAGACAAAATGAGGAAAAAAAATCCAGAAAATCACATTGTAGGATTTTTTATGAATTTATTTGCAAATTATGGTGGAAAATAAGTATTTGGTCAATAACAAAAGTTTCTCAATACTTTGTTATATACCCTTTGTTGGCAATGACACAGGTCAAACGTTTTCTGTAAGTCTTCACAAGGTTTTCACACACTGTTGCTGGTATTTTGGCCCATTCCTCCATGCAGATCTCCTCTAGAGTAGTGATGTTTTGGGGCTGTCGCTGGGCAACACGGACTTTCAACTCCCTCCAAAGATTTTCTATGGGGTTGAGATCTGGAGACTAGCTAGGCCACTCCAGGACCTTGAAATGCTTCTTACGAAGCCACTCCTTCGTTGCCCGGGCGGTGTGTTTGGGATCATTGTCATGCTGAAAGACCCAGCCACGTTTCATCTTCAATTCCCTTGCTGATGGAAGGAGATTTTCACTCAAAATCTCACGATACATGGCCCCATTCATTCTTTCCTTTACACGGATCAGTCGTCCTGGTCCCTTTGCAGAAAAACAGCCCCAAAGCATGATGTTTCCACCCCCATGCTTCACAGTAGGTATGGTGTTCTTTGGATGCAACTCAGCATTCTTTGTCCTCCAAACACGATGAGTTGAGTTTTTACCAAAAAGTTATATTTTGGTTTCATCTGACCATATGACATTCTCCCAATGATCTTCTGGATCATCCAAATGCACTCTAGCAAACTTCAGACGGGCCTGGACATGTACTGGCTTAAGCAGGGGGAAATGTCTTGCACTGCAGGATTTGAGTCCCTAGCGGCGTAGTGTGTTACTGATTGTAGGCTTTGTTACTTTGGTCCCAGCTCTCTGCAGGTCATTCACTACGTCCCCCCGTGTGGTTCTGGGATATTTGCTCACCGTTCTTGTGATCATTTTGACCCCACGGGGTGAGATCTTGCGTGGAGCCCCAGATCGAGGGAGATTATCAGTAGTCTTGTATGTCTTCCATTTCCTAATAATTGCTCCCACAGTTGATTTCTTCAAACCAAGCTGCTTACCTATTGCAGATTCAGTCTTCCCAGCCTGGTGCAGGTCTACAATTTTGTTTCTGGTGC